CAGGACGGACCCATAGGACCCCAAGGCCCCCATGGAGCCCGCAAGGCGGGCGAAGGGGGCCCAAAAACGGCTCCAAAGGACCCCAAGACGGGCCCAAGATGCCCCCAAGACGGCCCCCAAGATCTCCAAGACGGCTCCGAAGTGCCCAAAAAGGGACCCACGACTGCCCAGAGAGGGCCCAAAAACGGCCTTCGAATGCCAAGAAATACCTTTTAAAAAGCCTGCAGAGTCCCTCAAGAGGCCCCCAAGAGGCCCCAGTGAAGGCCACAGGCCCCCAAGAGGCTCCTGGGAAGCCCCCAGGAGGCCCCAACAGGGCTTCAAGAGGCCTCCTCGTCTTCCTGCTCCCCCCCGCCCCTGCTCTTCCTCATCCTCCTCTCCTCCTCCTTCCTCTTCCTCTCCCAAGTGTTCCCCCAAGGGGGTCAACAACGGCTGGGGGAACACATCGTCTCATAGCTTGGCCAGACTTCGACCCAAGGTGACCGCAAGGGCGTTTCCAAAAAAAGGCATGGGGCGGCGACAATTCGACGTAAGCGTCTTCGGTATGACCCGTCGTGCATTTGTGGGGTGCATAGGTGGACCCAGCTGTACATACGTATCAGTATACAGGGCCAAACGCTCTCACAATGTCACTGGACGCGTGGCCGTAGTGGTGCTCCGCGGTGCGGATCGTCGTGGCTGTTGATCTTGGTGCCGTCGTCGCCCCGCGGCATGCTCCGCAACCCACCCGCATTCCACCCGCGATCCATCCACGACCCATCCGGGCCGCGACCCACCCACGACCAACCCACGCCCATCCGCGAAACACCCGCGACCTATCCGCGCCGCGACCCACCTGCGACATGTGGCTTCAACCGAATTGGCGCCCACGGGGGGCCGACCCACCCACACTGCTTCCGAAACAAATGGGCATCTGCGACTGGCTGGTTCGCAAAGCACCACTGCGCAACCCAGCCAGCACCCCATCGCTCTTATCCGCAACCGCGGGGGTTTAGGTATGTGAAACACGCGCACGTGCCTACATCTCTGTTTACTGTGTGCTTACTCACCTTTTCACTTCCGAAAAAATCGCGGCGCATCTTCATTCATCACTGGAGCACCGTCGCAAAGGACGCCGTCCGAGGCCCGAACACGTCATGGCAAATCGGCCGTGTGTAACGCCACCCACACGGAACCTCACACTCTCAGTATCCACACGCCTGCCTGCAACACACACAGCAGGTTCAAGGGAGCCTCCTGGGCCCTCCTGGGTTCTCGAGCCATCTGGGAGATCTCTCGAGGCATGTCGGCGGGCACTCGGGCTCTCCTGCTGCCTCTGGGAGCCTTCGGGAAACGCGCGGGGCAGGGTCACGGAGGCCCCTGCGGCCCCGAAGGGGGTCCATTCGCAGGCCCAAGGGGGCCAGAGGCGTGCCAAGATCTCCGGCAACAGTCGGGTCGGGCGAAAGGGGGGGATAGCAAAGGGGGGGTTTGAGAATCAGCTCACGTAGCTGATTTTCCCGGCGCCTCCCGGCGCCGGAGGCGGCCATGTATCGAGGAATGGGCCCCTCGGTGGGGCCGAAACCAGCTGCATGCAGCAAATTTCGTAACCCCCCCTTTCCCAATCCCCCCCTTTCGTCCGGCCCGAAACAGGCTTACAATCGTCTAGTTCGCGCGCGCGTGGCGGTCCCTGGGGGCACCTCGACGACAAGTACCCTGAGAGGAGCCCGGCGAACCTCGGGTTAGAGATGGTTTTCCTCCTGTGGTGCGGTCGTTCGACCCCCGGCACGCCGTCTTTCGATCCCGAAAACGATGCAGGAGCGTGTCAAGGCGGCCCCGAGACGCTCCAAGATGGCCCTGGGCGCCGAAAGATCGCTTCAGACAGCCCTCGAGGCCGCCAAGAAGCTCTAAGAGAACCTCTTGAGGCCCTCCAAGAGAACCCCAAAAAGCACAAATCGCTCCATTACCTGAAGAAAATGTACACTTTGTGCATGTACGACTCTTGGAAGTTCACTTCGTTCAAGACTGCCCAAGAAGCCCCCAAGGCCGCCCCAAGACAGCCCAACAATCCTCCCAGAGAGGCCCAAAACGGCGCCAGAGGGCCCCAAGATGGCGCAAGAGGGCCCCAAAACGCCCCAGGAAGCGCCGAAGACGGCCCAAGACGGCCGCAATAGAGGGAACTCGAAATTCTATTTCGAGCTTGCCGCCGCAAGCGGCACGTCCAGACCACCAGCCGGGCCCCGAAAAAACCCGCAAGAGGCTCTAGGAAGCCTCCAAATGCCCAAAAAAGGGCACCCAGAGCGTCCAAATGGCCCCCAAAAGCTCTCAAGAGACTTCGAAATGACCAAGGTGCTCCAATCCGTTCGCGTTCCTCGCCCGCTGGCCTCCGCACCGCGCAGGAACCACGAGATGTGATGAGCAGCGGTCCCGCTGCTTCTGCTACCCCTCCGATGTTCAACTCGTACGTGCGCGGACCCAGCAGCGCAACATGGGCAACGAACGCGCAGGCAAAAGCCAGCGGCGCTTCATTACGGGCCGGCAGAAGGAGCGAAGCTATGAAATAGTTCTGGTGGCCAAGAAGAGGGTGAAGCGAGGGGGGGCATCCAGGAGTGTGTCCTGGTCCTGGCGCCCTTGCCCCTGGGCATACGAGTTGCTGTCCCTGGGGGCAGTCTGGAGAAACTTCCCAGCCACATCTGGTCGCGTGAGCACACTGCACCCAGCCAGAAGCCAGAGCGCCATCAGGTGTGGCGGCGCGCCGACGGGCGAGACGCGAGATGTTAATTTCGTCCCTAGCAAAAGGGGCTGCCGCAGCCCGGCTGTCACGGAAACAGAGGTACGGTATCGCATAAGCTGCCTCTTGGACGCATGTCGGGAAGGCCGTCTGGGGGTATGTTGGGTGCGTTTTGGGGGGACGCCCTGGGGAAACCTTGGGGCCAGCGCGGGGCCGTCTTGGAGCCCTCAAGGTGGGAATGGCGGAGGTAGAGATCGGGACCTGATCGTTGAGGGAACAAGTTCATTGGCGTCTAGAAGCCCCCAGAGGCTCCCGAAAAGGAGGCCTCCAGAGGCCCCCGAAAAGCCTTCGAGAGGCCATTTTTAGAGACCTCCCAGGAAAGAGCTTCCGCCAACAAGTCTGAGAACCAAGACGGGGAAGGACTCTCAGGGAAGGGCGAGAACGAGGAAGTGGATTAGAGTAAGGAGAAGGAAGAGAACGAGGAGAAACAACAACAGGGACAGAGGTATACTCGTTTCTTCTAGTGAAGGAGGAGAGAGCGCGGCAACAACCTGACAACTGGCCCGCATGTCTGGGGAGACCAAAAGGTACCGACACCGCAACTCCCGAACCTTCTCCCCGGGTGCGTTCTGACTAGACTTTCGAGGTAAATCCAGCGGTGGCGACGAGGGCCTCCCAGGAGGCCCAAAAAGGGGAAAATGGGCGAATAGTAGAGGTAGGGGTATCTTTTCCTCCTCCGAATGTCAGCTCGAAAAGCGCGGGAAGCGAATTGAAAGATGGACCAAGGTCGCTCTACCAGCGCACGCCATCACGCGTGCATCTCGACTTCGCTGCGCGGAGCCCCCCGGGTGCCGGCAAGATGCCATCCGCGGGGAGGGGAGGCGCCAGACCAAACAAGACACACGAACCAAGCCGAGGAAGGAGGGGGTGAGGCGGGCAACCAAAACAGAGTCGGTAGAGATCCGAACGGTGGTGCACCACAGAAGCCTAAAGAGCCCCCGAGCAGGCCAAATGAATGCCTACGAAAATATACGAAGACAGGGTGAGGCTGCTCGAAGGCACGCACGGCGCAGAAAGGCAGATCAGTGCTGAAAACAACCATGCACACCTGACTCGTATGGCGCTCTCAAGCCCGTGCCCTTTTTTCAGTGGCTCTGTCTAACTTTCGGCCTCCGGGGCCTCTTCAGGACGGCTCTCGACTGGAATGGCTAAGGCATGAAGCCCGCAAGTGTATATGTGACACACCACTGACTGCAATGCCGCGCGATAGGCGAATAGCTACACATGCAGATTACCATCAACAATCCCCCTGTACTGGATGCTTGCTGACTCCTGGTGCTGCGTCTCTGCACAGCGGAGGGCGGACAGATCGTGCCCCCCCTCCCGGAAACGGAGATCGGAGGGCGCTGCACGCGCTGGCCGAAGACCGCAAGAGCGCAGCAGGCGGAGCACGGCCGCACAAGAAGGCTGGTGTTGGGTCGGGCATGTCCTCCTACAGGGGGGGTTCGGACGAGAAATAAAAAATAGTCAACGAAAAAACAAAAATTGCCGAAACACCCTTCCCAGACCAGTTGGACTAACTGTTGAATTTTCCCCCTGTAGAGGGACAGGCGCGACTTAAGGCTGGTGGCGGAAAAAAAAGGCTGGGGCGCCGCAGAGGCGCTGCAAGTTGCTCCCGCGGCCGGCCCCCGTGGGCGGCTCTCGCGGGGACAGAAGTAGACCGTCAGAAGAAGTAGGCAGAAACATGAGGTAGGAAGGCGTTGAAACTACGGTGTGGGCATTGGATATGGGTCCCAGATAAGGAATCCAGGGTCTGGAAGCCAGTGGAATTCCAATCGTGGGTCGGCCATGGATATCACCGCCGCCCTCATTGGATAAGGAATCCGCCAAGGTCTGGGGCCTCCTGGGACTATTCCTCAACAAACGCCTCCACCGTAGACTAGGTGTCCGCCTGCCCCCTGAGGAGGACGGAAAAGGTGAACCCACCCGATCATTGAGGCAGGAAGGCGCCTCAAGTAGATTCGAGTCTGGAAATCCAGGAATACTTAATTTCAGCGACCGATGGGTATTTCTCTCTCTCTCTCTCTCTTTCTTTCTCCATCCGCCCGCGTGCGAAACTCGAAGGACCAAGGTGCATTGGCGCGAAGCGCCAGTGCAATCTTGTGTGCCACACAAACACTCTCTCTCACACACACACGGTTGCCTTTGATTCAACTCTCGCTTCTCTCGACTCTCTATTTTCTACTGCCTACTCTCTCTCTCTCTCTCTGCGTCTGACTGCGGTCGCAAGGACCCAGGCACTTGGCTGCAACCAAGAGCTCGAGAACACAAGAAACTTACAGCGCTGGAAACCCATGACTTAGAACCGAGACACCGGGACTCCCTCCCCCTCCCACCGAAATCGGCCTGGAACCCGAGCCAGGAGCCCAGGAACCTGGCCGCCCATCGAAATCCGCCTGGCACGTTCGCCTGAACGCGTAACCAGGCCTGGCCCACCGAAATCAGCCCTGTGCTTTCTCCTCTCCTCCGATAACGATCAGGACCCCTTAAGTGCAAGCGCTGCTTGGGGAATAAGTTGGCCAAGAATTCTGAAGCGCCTCATTTTGCAGGCCTCCGTCATCGTGCTTCTTTCACAACGTGGGCGCCCAGAGGTCTGGACACCTCTCCTGGGACCAGCCTTTCATTCCGAGCAGTTTCTTGACGGCCCAGAGCCCAGGAGGCCGAAAATATGCGGCACTCTTCGGTTCCTGACGCGAGGGGGTCTGGAGGTCTAAAGGTTGACCCCCGGACTTGTCCTTGAATGCGTTCTGGACAGAACGTCGAGGCGGATCCAAACGTGGCGACGGAAACGCCACAGGAAGCTCGCCGAGGCTAGAAAATACCAAAAAGCTTCGACCCTCGAAGTTCCAGCTTCGAGCTCGAAGATCGAGCTCCGAGCTCCGAGCTCCGGTTGCGCGGAGAGATCCGAGCCCCCTGGCCTGGCGCGCCTCGGTGGTGTGGCCGGTCAGCTCGGGCGGCGAAGACTGCACCCTGCGCCTGCGCGCGCCGGTGCCCCGCGAGGGCTCCGCCACCTGGGCGCCGCCGACGACGACGACGACGACGACGACGACGACGACGACGACGACGACGGCGATGACGACGGCGACGGCAGCGACGGCGACAGCAACGGCGACGGACGCCGGCGATGACGACGATGACGACGGTGGCGGTCCCGAGAGGTCTCCAGAGATCTCTGGAGGACTCAAGGAGGCCTGCGGGGCCCTCCAGAGACCTCCAGAGAGCGTCCTCGGCGCCGGCGCCCGCCGGCGGCGGCGGCGGCGGCGGCGGAAATGACGACAACGACGGCGGCGATGGCGGCAGCGGCGATGGCGGCGGATCGGAGCGGGCGGGGGGCGCGGGAGGCCCTCGACCCATCCCGGACGAAGCCTCGCCGGCGGCGCCGCGGCTGGGATCGGCTCGAAAGGCTGGGCGGTCATGGGCCCCACGGCCCGGGCTGGCCGTGGGGCTGAGCTGTGGGGGCCCCTGGGCGGGTGAGGCGTCGGGCGGTCCATGGCCCCGTGGGCCCCTAGCCGGATGGGCGGACCGCGCGTGACGCGAGAGCGGCGCGGATACCGCGGATAGGACGCAGGTTCCTGCCTTCAGCCTTCAGCCTTCAGCCTCCTTGTCCTCCTCCTCCTCCTCCTCCTCCTCCTCCTCCTCCTCCTCCTCCTCCTCCTCCTCCTTGACTTGACTTGACTTGACTCTGACTCTCGGCCATGATGTCGTAGTGCTCGCTCGACGGTAGCAACAACAGCAGCAAGGCGGGCCTGGCACGCGTAGTGGTCGAAGAGCCCTTCCTCACCCGATGTCCTCCCCGAGCCTTCCCTGATCATGCAGACGCGAGCAGAAAAAGCTTGCCCCTCTCCGCCACGTGCGTCTGTGCATCGGGCGTGGTGCTCCATCGGCGCTTTGGCCTGTAGGAGGACTCAAACAGGGGGATCGCAAGACAAGCATCCTCCACCGGCACGTCGACATCCTCCTATGGTAATTGTCGTCGTCGTCCCTCAGCCTCCAAGGAGCAGTGGCCATGGTGTCGTGGTTCGAAGGCGCCAGGGTGGCTAGGCTGACGGCTCGACCTGTGGCCCTTCTCTCTCAGCCTAGATCTAAAACCTCCCCCGAAGCTACAAGTAGGGGCCATGCAGAACCTGAAACTGCTTTGACTCTTGCGGCAACCCTTGACAGACCTATTCCACAGACGGCCGCCAGAGTGCTTCCGCCAGCTCCTCCTCCTCCTCCTCCTCCTTCTCCTCCTCCCCCTCCTCCTCCTCCTCAGGCTACTGCGCCTGCTCCTCCTCCTCCTTGTCCTCCACCTCCTCCTCGTCCAGTCCTCCTCCTTCTGCACCCGTGCCTATCCCAGGAGGGGTCGCCGCGCACGCTGGCCTCCACAAACGTGTAGCGGATCAGCGGCGCGCTCTTGGAGCCGTCGCCCGCCTCTTCCGCCTGTCGCCGTCGTCGCCGCCGTCGCTGTCGTCGGCGGCGCCGTCGGGGGCGTCATTGTAGGCGTCGTCGTCGGCGGCGTCGTCGGCGGCGTCGTCGGCATCGTCATCGTCGGCGGCGTCGTCGTCAGCGTCGTCGGCGGCGGCGTCGTCGCCGCCGTGAGCGCGCGCAAGGGGAGGAGGAGAACGTCTGGGACAGCGACAGCGAGATGGAGAAAGACAGGGCGGGCTGCGGAGTCTGTTGGCCAGCGCGCCAAATCGGTTGCGCCTCTCGGTCGTTAGTACGGGTGGCATCGTGTCGTGAATGCCCACGGGCAGTTATGGTGTCTTCTAAGCCTGCTGAATATATTTGCGGCCGCTGCGAGGCCGGCCATGAGAAGTGACCTTGTCTTAAGCAGCGTGCTGTGCGACACGTCTGCGAACTTTGATGCGGTGGTTATGCTTGCCGCTCGCAGCCTCGCGCGGCGCTGGCGCAGGTTGGCGCCACTGGTGTAGTTGCGGCACATGGCGTCCTATGGCAGCAGTTCTGAGGCAGAGAAAGTGCCCAGGTGTTTGCGGCGATGCGGTAACGATTGGCGTTTTCGCTGCCTCGCGGCATTGGGTGCGGTCGGAGGCGGCGTAATCCATTTCAGGGTGACTTCAACCTGGCCGCTGAAGCCGCATTGCCATCGCCGCCGCTTCAATCGCCAGTGTAACTGCACATGTGCGAGGTTGCGCGTGCGTCCGCTGGCGACACGTCTTAGCTCAAGACGCCTGGTCTTAGCCAGCTTGAGCTTGCGCGCGGACGGTCTAGCATTCGGGCGCGAGGAAGACATACGCCGCATTCAAATCGACTGTTGGTGGAAACGACGGTTTGGGATTTTGGTCCACTATTTCCAGATACCCATGACGGTGGGAAGTGTACAACACGAAGGCCGACACCAACTCAGCAGATTTCACTGAAACGGGAAAAATGTTCAGTCAGCTTCGCACGCGGCCCCCTCTAGAGGCCTCCCATATCGAGTCCGAACAGTCGTGGTCGGAGGATCGCGCCACATCGCCGATGCATCGGCGATGCATCGGTGATGCATCGGCGACGTCGGCGGTTCATCGGCGACGTCGGCGTGGAACAAATCGGGCTCCACATCGGGCCACATCGGCGACGCATCGGCGATGCGGCGCGATCCTCCAAGCCCATATACTCTGACCCCAACCCGGGGGGCCCAGACCCTCCCCGCTCCCTGTGCCCAGATCTGTCTGGATCTACCGCGACATACCTGGACACGCCTCGGTCTACCTGGCTTGATCCCCGCAGTTCGATCGGCGAGAAGACATCAGGCCATCAGGGATATCCCGTCCCCCTCTCGCCGCTGCCCCCGACGCGCCCCCCTGGCAAAGCTTCGGTCTGCGCTGGAACAGCCTTCCCAGGTAGTCCCGGCTGGCAGCCCCCGCGAGGTACAGTCAACCAGCAGAGTAAGGATGGACAACCTTCCCAAAGGTACCCTTGCATCCTTGCCTCCTCGGTCCATCCTTGGCCACTTTCGTTGGCCGCGCCCCGCTCGACAAGCTTCGAAATGGGCGTCCAAGGCCCTTGCACACTTATCGCGCATCCTTAGGACGCGGGCCGACTATAGCCCCAGCTGGCCTCCACAAGCCCCCCAAGTAGCCCAGTGCGGCCTCGACGCTTCAACCCTGGGGCGAAGAGCGCCCCAGGGGCGCAGCAGGAAGCGGCGCCAAGGGCCACTCGCGGGGCATGCTGGGGCCAGCTGGGCGGGGGACCTGTTGAGGCCAGGGTTACCCGGGGGGCCCTGCGCGCAACCCGAAGACTTACCACCCGTGCCAACCCAGCCCGACCCAAACATGCGACGTGCTGCATACGGGGCCCCCAGATGTCCCCAGGACTGGTTGTTCATCCCGAACCGTGTTCAAAAGCCCCGGGACCATGGTGGGTTCCCAGGGGCCAAAAACCTCCCGTCGTGTTTCCTTCACGACGCGAGCATTCCCGAGGACGCGAAAATATAGAAACATCGCGGAAAATTGCGACCGGACCATGGACCCCATCTTTCTGCTGCGTTTTTCGAGCCGGATCGATCCGCGCCTGCTCCCTGGCCGGAAACCGAGCGAACACGCCCATGGTGCACCCATAAAGCGCAACGACTGGAATCCACGGCGCCCCGACGCCGCATCCCCGCTGGCCGCCTTGACTTCCCGGTCCGGAAGGCTCCTGGCCCGGCGGCGCATGCCAGGCCCGCGCCTCTCCTCCCGGCGCCCTAAGCAGCGGTCAGCGGCAGTGGGCCTCGGCGCGGCGAAGAATTGGAGGGGGGCCCTTTGCGTTCGGCTGGAGTTCCATCCTCTTCCGCCCCTCCTCTTCGATCCTCCTCCTCCTCCTCCTCCTCCTCCTCCCCCTCAGCCTCCACCTTCTCCTCCTCCTCCTCCTTCTCCTCCTCCTCCTCCTCCTCCTCCTCCTCGTCCTCCTCCTCGTCTTCCTCCTCCTCGTCTTCCACGTCCTCCTCCCTCCTCTCTCCTCCTCCTCCCTCCTCCTCCTCCTCCTCCTCCTCCTCCTCCTCCTCCTCCTCCTCCTCCTCTCTCTCCTCCTCCTCCTCCTCCTCCTCCTCCTCCTCCTCCTCCTCCTCTCCTCCTCCTCCTCCTCCTCCTCCTCCTCCTCCTATTCCTGACAAAAGCAAACCAGGTTCGCCCCCTGCCGCCCCAACTGATCGTCGCTGAGAACGAGACGAGGATGTAGGATGCCTTCACCGCGCCTACGCAGCCCTGCAGCAGCGGCGGCCCAAGTCGGCTAGCGTGCCACTTCGGCCGCCAGCGCGGCGCGGGCCGCAAGCTCCGCCTCGTCCTCCTCCTTCTCCTCCTCCTCCTTCTCCTCCTCCTCCTCCTCTTCCTCCTCGTTTGTCCTCCTCCTCTCCTCCCTCCTCCTCCTCCTCCCTCTTCCTCTCCTCGTCCTCCTCCTCCTCCTCGTCCTCCCTCCTCCTCCTCCTCCTCCTCCTCCTCCTCCTCCTCCTCCTCCTCCCAATCCTCATCATCAGCAGCATCATGTTATGTTTCTTATCTTCCACATCCGTCTCCTCCTCCTTCTCCTCCTCGTCCTCCTTCTTTCCTTCCTCCTCTTTCTCCTTCTCCTCCTCCTCCTCCTCCTCCTCACCTCCTCCTCCTGTCGTTGAGCGGACAGCTGAGCGGCTGCTTGGTCTGTGGTCTGTGCGGCGGCCCAAACAAAAAAACGAACTGGGTGAACTAACACGAACAGAAAGAAAGGCCTCAACACGCAGCGGTGGGAAGAAAAAGCTCAGAGGCAATAAACAAAAGTATGTGTGCAGGAGTACGCTCGGGTCCCCAAGAGGTCTTGAAAGCGGCGTCGCATCACTCGCGCAGTTCCCACCCACTTCCAGTAGGCGAGGTTGGAGGCAAGGTAGGAGGTAAGAAATAAGTGCACACAAAGATGAAAATAGGAGGCAGGAAGAGGCAGGAGGGGGGAAAACGGGAAAGGAGCAGGAGGAGGAGGAGGAGCCAGCAGTGCTGACCCAAACAGGAGGGCCAGGACCAACTCCAAAACTTACACGGGTGACGATGGTATCGTTTTGGACATGCGATTCTCGTTTCAGCGCCACGCACATTCGTATTACAATACGGCTCTCGCCATAGCATCGCGCATACTTGTCTTAAACTTTGCAACAACGACAGAACACTTGCAACTGATTTTTTTCAAACTGCTGCTCTCGCCTTCGCGCCTGGCAGATATTCACAGTAAACGCTTGCAACACCTACAAGGATAAACGACCCTCTGTGTTCAAACTGCGGCGATCACTAACAAACCAGAAAATCCCACGACCTGGACTTGCATTTGGGGAACTATGAGCAGGCAACTTGGGACGGGAATTGTGTACTGTAGCATCGTTGACGCATGCTGAATTCCTGGTCCCCCTTCATCTCCTGTCATCGGATCAACGGCGTGGTGCTCGAGGCGCTTCCTGGTTATTGAAGCTGACGTCGCCAATGAAAAAACACAATCGTGGGCACCTGCGTCTGCCACCTCGTCATATCATGTTCCTCATCCTCCTCCCCATCATCATCACCATCAGCATACTAATCATTACCAACATTATGACCATCACCATCACCATCACCAGCACCATCATCATCATCATCATCATCATCATCATCATCATCATCATCAGCAGCATCATCATCACCACCACCATCATCAGCAGCATCCTCACCAGCAGCAGCAGCAGCATCGTCATTAGCATCGTCGTCGTCATCATCATCATCATCATCATCATCATCATCATCATCATCATCATCATCGTCAGCATCATCATCGCCAGCATCATCATCATCATCATCAGCAGCAGCATCATCATCATCCTCCTCATCATCATCCTAATCATTAGCATCATCATCATCATCAACATCAGCATCAGCATCATCATCATCATCAGCAGCAGCATCCTCACTAGCAGCAGCAGCAGCATCGTCATCAGCATCGTCGTCGTCATCATCATCATCATCATCATCATCATCATCATCATCATCATCATCATCATCGTCAGCATCATCATCGCCAGCATCATCATCATCATCATCATCATCAGCAGCATCATCATCATCCTCCTCATCATCATCCTAATCATTAGCATCATCATCATCATCAACATCAGCATCAGCATCATCATCATCAGCATCAGCATCATCATGTTCCTGCTGCAGATGATCTTGTCTGACCTTCCTCTACCTCTCCCTCCTACGTAATGGTTTGTGCCTTCCGCGATCCCTCTGCGATCCGAGGGCGGCGCCCCGATCCGCTGGATGGGCCAGAAAGGAAGGCCGACAGTGCTACACTCCGCCCCCCCCCCCCAAAAAAAAAACAAGAAAGGTTTGGTGGACGCATCGACGCCCTCGCGGAGCTTGTTTAGCCTAGGTCGGCCCCTGGGGCATCGGTCGAATAGATACTGGGACCTACAAGCCCCATACGCTCCACGTGAGGCACACCACACCACACGACCTCCAACGAGGAAGAGGGGGTGAGAAGAGAGAGCCTACCTCGCCACCCGAGGGATACCCCGACAAGATGACTCACAAACAGCTACCCTGGTGCCTGACCCTCCGCCCCTTGCGCGCACGAGTATGTTGCCTGCACGGCCCACACGCCACAGCTGGTGGCCGAGCGCATTTGGAACGAGGGCCTGGCACCCATTACGCTTCACGCCCACACACACACACACACACACACACACACGCACGCACACACACACACACACACACACACACACACACACACACACACACACACACACACGCACACACTCGACAGCAGGGAAGCCGAGCTTGGCAAGATTTCCAATGACTCAGTGGATAAGCCAGGCCCCGGGCTTCACAAGGGATTCCTGTGCGGGGCCCTTCCGCTTCACCAAGGGATTGTGCAGAAGCAGTGCCACCCCTACCATGGCCAAGTGACCAGGCTCCTTATTGCTGGCCCACGCCCAGTAGGGCACATCCTTATCCAAGCCTGGGCTCGCGACAGGTGACTCCTACTACCATTAGGGGCTCGGATGTTGGGCTACCCCAACACCACTGGCCCTGGCAAACAAATATCACACCGCGGCACGCGGAAGGCGACGCTGCAGAGGTCCTGCCCTGGCCCTTGACCCCGATGTCTTGGACCACCTGAAAGTCCGCCATTGAACTCAGTCTCCCTTAGACCCAGACGCCTACAGACGAAAATATGATCAAAACAGCTATCGTTTAAGAAATCTGGGACAGCTTCCGGAGGTTCATTAAAACAAACCTGGGCCAATGTCTGCCGTTCACGCTGAAGGGGCGACCGTGCTCAAGAAACTGCGCCAGCTTTCTGGCAAGTGAGTTTAGTAGCGCTGGCCCAGCTTCTCGGGAGGAGGTGTCTTAATCGTATGCTCGACTGCACGATCAGGAGGTGTGGATGGCGAGTCACGGCGAAGGCCCCAGCGGCACGCTATGCCTCGCGAGCGGACAACGTGTCGCTCCGCCCGGCGGGGCGGGAGGCTGGGACAGGCTCGGCACGCTGACGCCGGGGAACCGGGAGGCGGATAGCGTGTCGCGCCGCAGCGTGGAGGGCCAAAACTGGCGGCGCGCACGCTATCCGGAAATTCCCGACCGTGAGTCTCATGAGGAGAGCGTCCGCCGTTCCCCCTCCCGCCCACCGGAGCGTCCAGGGGAGAGGCCCACTGATCGAACCAGCAGCATTCCCCCCTTGGCCCACAGCCACAGGCCCCCAACCCGTCCTAGAAATGAGTTCCATGTGGGGGCCGATGGACGACCCATCGAGGCCAGCCATGGGGGGAAGGACCGTCCATTTGAAGCCAACATCCACCATGGGGGTGGGCCAATCCCAACCAGGGCTGGGGAAAAGGCACTCTTGCGAGTCCAGGGCCTCCGCCCGAGGAGGCAAACCCCTGCTGAACAGGTTCTGTGAGAAGAATACTTAATGACCCGCTTGCTGCCGTCGCGCGCCAGAGGGATGTCCACGCCGCCTGCACGCTGGGGCCAGCACGCGCCTCCCGGCAGAAAGAGCCTGCTTGGCCACGCAAGACCCAGCCGCGACGCCGACCACCAGCGCCGCCTCTGGGCCGCATGATCGGCTCCGTGGCCCCTGAGTCTTCCTAGCCAATGGCGCAAGGCTGTAGCCACTGGGTAAACATGTGTGTGCCGTGGCTTGGGGCCTCTCCGGGCTCCCAGATCTGGCCCAAATCGGCCCGTTCCCCCGAAACGCCGACAACAGCATCTTCTTCAATTATTCTCCCGATCGCTTGAAATCTCGGCCGGTGCACATGCGGCGGGTTCCCGATTCCCTGATCCAAGAACCCTTGACATCTTGCGGGGAGACATGTTTTACTTCCGCTGGCTTCCGCCAGCCTTCCGCTGGCTCCCACTGGCGGAGGCAACCTCGTCTTACTTCTGCCAGCTTCCGCCAGCCTTCCGCCGGCCTTCCGCCACCTTCCGACGAGGAAGAGATGGCAACCGCAACCCCTTCGATCCTCGAAGGCGAGGCCCATTCTAGAATGCCTTACGAGAGTTGCGGACCACGCGCTCGCGCAGAGCGGAAGAGCCAGGCGGGGATGCCAAACAGCTACCCTGCACTGGACACAGAAAAATAGCGAGGGAGGGAGGCGGCCGCGGAGGAGGGGAGCTGCTGGGGCGGCCCTTTGGCACCTCGGACGCCACGCTCTTCAAGAGAGATGTGTGGGCCCCCTGACGGATGAGCACCGGAAGAGCCTGGCTCCCCCGAGCCCCGGGCCGGTTATGACGCCACGGTCGGCGACCAGCCAATGCGAGGGAAGGTGCACACGAAGGCCCCCGAGGGCCCTGTGACCTGGGCGCGGTCAAAAGTAGGAGCGGCGAGGAAGGCATCGAAACTCTGGTGGAGCTGGGCTGCAGGAGCCCACGCTCCATGCAAGGCGCGCCCCCCAACGCGAGGAGATCCCATGCTGGCCGACAAGTGAGATCGCATGTCGCATCCTCGCAAAAGTGAAACTCCAACGTTTTGACGTTAGGCCAATTGGAGGCGGCAGCCTGGAGCGTGCATGAGTGAAAACGTAAACCGACCTAACGCTGCGGTGAAAAGAGAAGGCCGCGGACGGGTGCGGAAAAAGTAAAGCAGCGAGGCAGGCGAAGGAAACTCAAGCGTGCGAGACCTGCCTATTCGGCGTGCCGACACCAGGCACCGAACGCATCTCGCGCAGTCTAGCAGCAGCCACTCAACCCACGCAGCCCACAGAAACGCTTGACGCGCGGGCGAAGCGCAGCTGCTCTCCCGTTTTGCACGGCCGATCTGATCCGTTGAAAACCCACTAGACGATGTTCAGCGGCATCCTAGGTTCGAAGCCCCCAAAGCCTGACATCCATCGCTTTTTGCATGGCGGCCCCGTTACACGTTGACAACACCACCCCTTGACCCCAAGATATGACGAAGCGCGGGCCCTGTATCGGAGCCAGCAAGTAGTAAGCTTCAGCTCCAAAACGTCGGCCTGACTCCTCGCTCCTGCTGCAAAAAGGGTAAAGTCATCCGGTGATATCATCCACCACGTGAGAAACCCTGGTGCTGAGCCAGCAGATAACCTTGGCAGGGGTGAGCAGCACGAGCTCCATCAAGCTCGTGGTGAAGGCGCAACCTGCGATGATCTCCTGGCCAGCACGAGTGATCCCCAGGGTGATCTGCCCATTCTGGAGCAGCTTCGGGGCCTGGTCAACGAGCAGCAAAAACCTAGGTCGAACCAGGGGGAAACCCTGACGGATAACCGCATGGACCAACTGGCGGAGAAAACTATGTTGATAAGCCTTGGCAAGGTACACCAGGACCGCCGCTGAAACGACCCCAACTTAAGATAACGTGCTCAGCGGTCTGAGACTGCCCCCATACCTTATACTACCCTACATTTCCTCCTGATCATCCTCTCCCTCTCCTCCCACACGCGGTCATCATTGTCTTCCTCGTCCTAGGTGGGCATCGTGAGCACCAGCCGCACCATGATTGTCATCGTCTTCGCCGGCTCCATGAAACCCAAGAGTTAGCAGACGCAGCATTGTCGACATCCTGGTCACGTCTGTCGTCTGATCGTCGTCCTCCCCAGTGTCCGCCTGCTACTTCTATTGTCATAATACTCCTCTCTCTTATCCGAGGCAGCCATAATCATCCTCCTCCTCATCATCATCAAAATCACCAAAATCACCATCATCATCGTCATCATCGTACCTCAGCAGCATCATTATCACCAGTTTGCTGTTCGCAGAAGGGGCCTGGGTAGGGATTGAAATATTTGAAAGACTTACAAAATTGAAAGGGCTTGGTATCCGTCGGCGCGCATTGAAAGATGTACAAATTGATAGATTCGGTGATGAGTCTGCGGGCCGATTGGAAGATTGAAGGAATTGGGGGTGCTGCATTCGAAGATTGAGAGATCGATCGATCTTTCAATCCCGATGATCCGTCAGTATTGAAAAATGAAACAGATTCAATCCTATCGGAGGCGTCATGCTTGAAACAATGAAATATTGAAACAAAGTTAACTCCAGGAAGCCCGGATTGAAGGGTGCAAGAACGCTGCAGCAGAATCATAGTCCCTCAGGGCACGGTGGCGAATCGATACAATGACAGAATGACAAATCTAATCTTTCAATCTTGCAAAATCTCAATCCAAATCCTCCGATCTGACACATCTTTCAACATTTACATTCGGACCCTCAGGATTGAAAAATCGCTCAATTTTTCAATATTGCAAAAGACGTTCCGGATTGAGAGATATTCGTTTTTTTTCAAAATTTCCATCCGGACCCTCCAAATTGAAAGACTCTTGAATCTTCCGATATTTCAATCCGGACCCGCAGGATTGAAAGATCTTTAAATATTTCAACCGTTCAATCCTTTCAAACCTTGTCAAGCCGAGCAGGACCCTCCCCGAAATAAAAAACTGACATCGCCATAATCGACCTCATCATCCGTCCACCCTCTGCCATATCCTTCTCCAGCCTGGTCGCTGGCCATAGTCATTTTCTCCCTGTCTCATGCCTTCCTTACATGGTATTATCCTGGTCCTCTTTCGCGCTGCGTTTCCGTTCCTCATCCTCATCGGTCATCGTCGTCCTCCTCCTCCTCCAGCAACGTCACCGAGAACATGGCCGCTGATTCGCACTCGAAGCGGGGGCGGTATCGCCTGGAAACTTGACGCAAAAACCATACCAACTGATTTCGGACAAAGGGCTGACGTCACACGTGATACCGACGGCCAGCCGTGCCCAAACACCCCGCTGCCGCTCAATGTCCCCACATGGTTCTCGAACTCACGACCCGAGCCGCACGATCCAGCCCCACGCTGCCTGGGGCAGCTCTGTCCCCCTGCAGCGACGACTGCCTGCGTCAGCTGTTGACGACTCAGAGCTGACGACTGTCTGCACCACCTCGGCGCCCCGATGGCCGATCTCCCCCATTACCCATCGGTCGGAAGAAGCAGGTAAAAACATGAAGCAGAAAGGCGTTGGAAGTAGATTGGGCTTCCGCGCGCCCCCTGAAGAGGACGGAAAAGGTGAGGCCACTCAATCCTTGAAGTAGGAAGGCACCCGAAGTAGATTAGAACCTGGGAATCCCCCAAAAATACCTACTTCAACCACCGATGGGTACCCGTGCAGGAACGCGGCGCAGGCACGTCTGGGGCCACGGCCGGCATGCGCATGCCCGGCGAGGGTGCCCCGCGCGCACGAGGGCGGCAGCGCGCGGGCCACTAAACGGCTTGCGGCGCGCTCGCTCTACGCCGCCGCCGCCGTCGCCTCTGTGGTGCCAAGGACGGGTCGTGCGGGGACACGGGAGGACGCCAGCTTTTCGAAATCTCCACAAAATCGTCCCCCGGGTCCGGTTTGTTAAGACGTCTTTTTTGGAAGCGGGGGGGTCCGGTTATCAGAGCGGTTTCTGTAAACGGAAGACGAGGGGGGTCCGGAATATGAAGGCCCCCCGTTGACAGGGGGGTCCGGAAAATTAGGTTGCCGTTGAAAGAGGGGTCCGGTTTTCTAGGTGGGGGTCGATTAGTGAGGGATCCCGAGTACGCACCTGCACTGGCCCAGGAAGGGTGCACGTGCATGCCGCCCTGGCCAAGCCAAGAGGGCGCGTGAGATTGGCCTGGTCTGGGTCGGCGTCGGTGTGAAGGTACTTGGCTAGTGTCCACTGAGCACCTTTCTGATGATGACGACGACACGTTGCATGGCGATCAGGATGGGGTCAGTGCGAAGGAGTGCCACGGTGAGGGCCCAGACTTAGGATCCGGGGGGCAGGGTGCGGGACAGAGAGGTGGAGGAGAGGTGGAGGCTGCGTCGCAGGATGATGAAGACGGGACCGAGAGCGATAACGGGACGAATATCCTGATGCTCACACCCCACCGGAGATGTAATCGCCCAAAACTGTTTTCTGACGGAACAGACAAAATACTAACACAGCTACTCCTTGGAACTCCCCTGAGTGCGTTCAGGCCCGAATTTCGGAACGAGTTCAGCCGTAATGACAAGAGCCCCTCAGGAGGCCCAGAAAGGCAAAGGTGGGTTCGGTGATGCAGTGCTTCCGTATTCTGATTGGGTCTTGCTCGTATACCTTGTCAGCGGCCTCCCCGACGCTCTTCTTCAGGTTGTACGCGTGGTCTCCTCCTTCTCGTCTTCCTCCTCCTCCTCCTCCTCCTCCTCCTCCTCCTCGTCATCCTCCTCCTCCTGTTGCCTGTTGCCTGCTGGATGGAAAGTCGTACCGACGCAGCCCTCCCTCCTCCTGCTCCTCCTCCTCCTTCTCCTCATCGCTCCTCCTCTGTTTCCTCCCCCTCCATCTCGCCCTCCTTATCTTCCTCCTCCTCCTCCTCCCCCTCTTCGTCTTCTTCCTCCTCCGTCCGGATCCCTCCCACGGGCCATCCGGGCCGGTGTCTCATCCTGGATCGATTTGTGATGGTCGCAGGAACCGAGAAGATCCCCTTGAGGTCCACGTCATGGAAACATCTCTGGCCCGACGATTTCTTGTTCCATCCTTCTACAGATCCGCCCCCCCAGAACCCCAACGTCGTGATTCTGTCACCCCTCTGAGGTCTGAGCCCCCTCCCCGGACCGGACCGGTGAGGGCACCCAGATGCTGAAATTGGCCACCGGCCTTCGGAGGCTCTCTTATTATGGCGCGAACGGATTTGGGCCCGGCGCCCCCCTCCCCCGTGGGGTCCCGCCGTAATCTCCAGGGGGATCCAGCAGCGGCGACAAAAGAGGGACCCCGGAGGCCCGGAAGGGACGAACAGCTTTCTTTGATCGAGCACGGGCCGACCACCCCAGCAGCCCCCTAGGCCCACCACGAGATGTTCTCAGAACAAAAGAATGTTCTACGAGCGAAAGCTGTTTTTCTTCAGTAGGTGAAGCCGGTGGTTCAATCAAAATCAAGATCAGGCAACAGAATCATGCGAGCATCCTGCGGAAACCACAACGGGCTTTCAGAAAAGCCCCTGACGGGCCCGGATGGGCAGGCCAGGACGCTTCGCCCCTGCCTGATCTCAAGACCCTGGGCGCGGGAACGCCGGCCCCCGAGCCTCGACCCTGCCCCCCCCCCCAGTCCTTCAGGGTGGCCCGTCCGCATGCGCTTCTTGCCTGAAGGTCAACGTTCGGGGAGGATCGGCTCAGGGGGGGGGGGAAGGCCTCGGAAGAAATCAGCGAACACTCCTGCCGCATTCATCTGCCAGTGATCAATGCTGGCGGTGGGTTGGATGAGCTGAACTTCGAGCGCAGTCTTCCCCGCGCGTGCCAACTTCGAGGTTGGGGGAGCGGGCGAGTGTCCACTCACTTTAGGTTGGGCGTGTCCCGCTACAGGCGGATTTTGGGCGATCTGTTTAAGATTCATGTTTAAAAAATCCAAAATGGTCACGAATAGCAGAAAAATCGTCCCCAGGCTATCTTAAACTATTGTTTAACTAGCCCTTCAGTAGAGGGACAGGCCCGACGTAATACGAACTGTTCCCTTCTGCCGAAGCAGCGAGCTGGACTCGGCGATACAGCGGCGCTGGATCGGCAGTGGGCCCCGGATCGCGGAAAACCGCACGCTCCTGGGCGGGGCGGGTTCTCAGGTCACTGCGGCAGGGGGAAGCGATCAGTGTTGAGTCGGGCCTGTCCCTCTGCAGGAGGAACCTTCAAAACAGTCAAAAATAGTCTGGGAACGATCTTTGGACTATCTTCGGCCATTTTGGAATCGTTTTTTTTGTTGACTGTGTCTTATTCTGTCGTCCCAAATCCGCCTGTAGGGGGACATGCCCGACCTAAAATTAGCGGACACTCCACCACTGCCCCAAACTCGAAGTTGGCCCGCGCGGGGAAGACTGCGAACGCAGGCAGTGCAGCTCATCCAACCCACCGCCAGCATTGATCACTGGCGGAAGCGAAGCGAACGCCGGAGTCGTGCGCGCTACACTGGGGAGCCCGCCCGTGCCCATTAGGGCATGGCGTGGAGGCCGTGGCCTCAAGAATGTGATACGTAGGCGGGCTCACGTGATAACCACCACTGCGTGTGCACGGCCGCCGACAGCCACCGCAAGTCGTTTGTGTTGTTGTGTTGATGTTGTCGTGGTTGGGTGGCTGCTGATATCTGCTCCTGCCCGGCGTCGTCGTCGCACTGGTGCCCGTCCAAACTGTGGAGAAGCTTCCGTTATGTCGTCTTCTGATCACTGGGGGAGGGGGCATTGGCAGATGGATGCGGCACGAGTGTCCGCTAATTTCTTCCGAAGCCTGTGCCGGCGATCAATGGGCGACTGGAGATCGATGCATCCCCCCTGAGCCCATCGCCCCCTAGCGCTGCCCCTTGGCACCCGGGCCATACCTCAGCTCTCTCCTCTCTGGCGGCCACTCGTGACGATCCGGGCACCCCTGGAAGATCCCCAAGGAGGCGCAGCTGCTGGAAAGCATCGCGAGCCTGGATCGCCGCCGCGAGCTGACGAAAACGCATGAAAACCTCGAACTTCGACCTCGACCCTGAGCCTCAGCCCTCGAGCCTCGATCCTGCCCCTCCTCACCCCTGAGTCCGACGTCACAATAAAGTTTCAACAAGAAAAAACACGACCAGCGCCCCGGACCCCGAATTTCTATGGCATGTTTCGAACCGGATCGATGTGCCATAGCCCTGGGGTTTGAAACCGAGCGAAAACGCCCGGGGTGAAATCATTGCGACGTCTGGATCTCAGGGTCCGCAGCGTCCCCCCCCCAATTCTGGATCCGCCGTACTTTGGGGGATCTCGAAATCAAGGCATAAATCCCCGCCTTCCTGTTCAAGACCCTTTGATGTCGAGTTCCGCCCCCTACTTTCCCGCCAGTGTTTCCGCCATGCTTCTGGAAGTATCCGCCCTACTTTTCTGATCGGGAGCGGCCAAGAGGGGGGTGTCCAAGAGGGGGGGGTGCAAATCATGACGGAATTTCCGTCATACTTGCTCGCGCCATTTGGGGTGCATTTCCAACGCAAAAAAACCCGCAGCGGAGTCGCCGAAAGGTCTGCACGCGTCGCCAACATCGCCCGAACGCAAAGGAAGCGGTGCACAGGACCCCTCCCCCCCCGCGCGCGCGCGCGAACAGGAATTTCCAAAACACTGCAGCTTGGCCGCTCCAAAAAGGAACGCTAGAGAAGGGAATCGAAGCCCCCTTGAGACCCCCAGGCCACCCATGTTCGCGAGGAAGGCTAGAAGCACAGCCATGGAAGAACCTAAGGAACATGATCGGGGGTGGACAAGACTCCCTTTAGCAAAACGTGGTTTCCTGAAAACGACCTCGGGCCAAAACCTGGCGGGCGCAAGCCTGGAAAACGACGGGCGCGGCGCCCTCTCGAGAACCGAAAACGGACAATTCACGAATCGACGTTTCGAGGTGGGGGTTCTGTCCACCCCCGACATTAAGCCCTTCCAAAACCGAACTGTTCCTTGCTTCAGCGTCCCGACTGTAAGATGAAGCGGGAAATGGGACTTACGGGCCACATGGCCCCGCCTCCCAACCAAATGCGAATTCCCTCGTGCCTGGTACGAGAGCGTTTCTTTATGTTCGGCGATGACGGGCGTCATGGGGGGGGGGGGCGGGGGGGGGGGGGGGGGGGGGGTGGGGGGGGGGGGGGGGGGGGGGGGGGGGGGGGGGGGGGGGGGGGGGGGGGGGGGGGGGGGGGGGGGGCGGGGGGGTATACGGACTCGCTCCGTTCTGGTCCCCCCCCCCGTGTGGCTCCGGCACCACAGCCGCGCCCGCGCGCACGACGCGACGAGCGACAAGCGACGACGACAACGACGACGACGACGACGACGACGCGAACAGCATGTAGGTGGCGATCTGCCCCCCTGCGCCTGTGTACACCACAACGCTCGCGTGTACCACAGCGCGCGTGTATACCACAGCGCCTGCGTACATCGCAACAACCGTGTGCAACGCAGCGCCTGTGCACTGCAGTGCTTGCGTACACTGCAGCGCCAGTGTACATGTGCACACTGGAGGCAACCATGTGCCGCACAGCGCCTGTCTACACCACAATGCTTGCGTGCACCGCGGCGCCTGTGCACGCCACAGCGACTGTCTACACCACAGCATCCGCGTGCAACGCAGCGCTATTGTACACCACAGCGGCTGCGTGCATAGGACAGGCACAAGGAGCCTGTACGTGAGGATCTGCTGCGGAACCGCCACGCCAGGAAAGTGCTGATAATCGAATGCGACGTTTTTCCCTCTTCCTTTCCCCTCCAGTTCCACATCCTCCTCCTCCTCATCATCCTC